AGCTTGGGGAATTTACACCCACTATTGCCATCAGTATTCATTCACCATTCCCAGGGCACTTACTCAATTATTTGTAGTATTTCTTCTATATGAAGCACACATATTACACTGACTCTGTTTCGTTCTCTTTAATGTTTCTCGATCACTTCTTCCTTTATCTCCCCTCCCCCTTGTCTATCTGCTACCATGTAGATTTTTCTTTCCAGGCACTGGAAAGCTTAATTCCAGATAGTCTCTTTTATCTTTTTAAAACAATTTCCTCTTTCTCCTGGCGTTCTATGTCTTTCATTCGTTGGTCCATATAAACATTGTGACCATACTTTTCATTAAATTCTTGAATTACTTTTTGTGGCGGACTGAGTGTTACTATACGCTAATTGCAATATTTAGGACATCTCTCGTTTATCTGCTTCTACAACCTGTAATTACAATCGCTGTGTCTCAATGTTCTGTACTGTGCACAGCGTAAAATTTTACCATGTGTCAGGTGTCTTACATAATGTGTGAAAAGATTCAGGTGTGTTCTTTCTCTGAAGAATGATGATTTGTGTTGTAGTAAGTGTCTACTGGAGAATACACTGCACCATTTTCAAGTGGGTCAGTCTTAGTTTTGGAGTTACTTGTCTGACAAATCAGTGCTTCATTAGAACACTGGAAGGTCATGGTCCTGGAAGTTGGAGCGAACTGAGGTGCTGAGGGAGAACCAGTTGCCATTCTGCATGGCAGAGGATGACAGCTTATGCCAATGCTGTGTTGTAATCTTTCAGCTTTGCTTTCGCTGGGCTCTTTAATGCCCTTAGCCTCATTCTCACATAGGAACAAACATTTCAGGGGATTTTACCTTGACATGTGAAATATTATCTTTCTGCTCTCACGTTCTGATTTCCTCCTTAATTTGTGCTTTTATGAGTTTTCTGAGACCTATCAGTGAAATTCTACTGTATCGAGCCATTCTAAATTTCCAGGGTTGATGATTTTTCTTTAATGTGGGACTTCAAACAAGGAAATTTTTAGAAAAATAAAGAACAGGTGGTAACTTTTTAAGTTGCCAGAGAAGAGCCATAATCTTAGGCCTAGTTCAATTCTGCTTGCATTCTACCTTAATTTCTTTATACCTTCAAACCCCTTTAGGCACTTTTTAATCCTTAACATAGTTGTTCATTTGTTATTTCCCAAATAGTTACAAATATTTTCCAAAGAAAGACCATTTATGTCATCACAGCCAGAGCTAAAATCTAAGTGATATATTTTATATTTTAGTTTCTTATGTGATACTATACAATCCAACTTTTAAATTTGAAATTTATTTACTCATTTAATTATTCTATCTCAATCTGTCTCTCTCTCTTCTGTGTGTGTGTGTGTATGTGTGTGCATACACATGTTTGTGCCGTAGCACACTTGTGGTGGCCAGAAGAAAGCTTTTGGGAAAGATTACTTTCAAGAGTCAGTTCTTTTTGTCCATCTTGAATCTGGCTTTCTAGAAGCATCTGCATTTACAATCTTGCTCCAGACTATCAGTCCCCACAAACTTCTGTGCAATTCTTTTCTCTCTGTTTCTCGTTCATGTTAGAAATTTCTGGAACACAAAAGGACGCCACTGCATCTGGCTTTTGAAGTGGGATTCCAGAGGTCAGACTTAGATCATCAGTCTTGTACCGCTAGCACCTAATCCTACAGATATAGCCCACTGGATCACAATATTGAATCTCATAATATCCTTCTGGAGATAGTGACCACAACAGTAAAACTATTACTACTGCTTCAGTGTAAGAAGAAAATTAAAGTTGTGGTGGTGGCACATATCTCTAACCCCGGGACTCAGGAGATAGAGGCAAGGGGAGGGATCTCTGAGAGTTTGAGGCCAGCCTAGTCTACAAATCGAGTTCCAGGAGAATCAGGGCTGCACAGAAAACCCTATCTTGAATAGCCAAAAATCCAAACCAAACCAACCAACCAAACAAACAAACAAGAATAAAATTGAAAATTTAATCCAAACACTAATGACAGCAACCATAATCAATAAATTTTCTCATATAATTGCAATTCCTTATGGGTGGTAGGATGTGAGTAGTAGTTTCCTTCATTCTACCTTCTATATATTTCAAATTTTAATATGATTTTATCTACATATATGTATATACACATACTTATAATTTACAATAAAAATCAGCTTAATTTTATTAGGTAGCAACTATAAACTTAGTATAATAGGTAATATTATTGCAAATTGTTGTTAAATAATGTATTTTATAAGTACTAGAGAATAAAATTTGTCACGTGGGATATTACTTTAGCTATGAGTACATGTGTTAGATTTGTTTATATTGAATCTGTTTAACTATGTAAAGATGTGTTATATTTGTTTCACCTTGTCTGCCTAAAGCACCTGATTGATCTATTGAAAAGCTGAGCAGCCAATGGCTATGCAGTAGAGGGTAGGAGGGATAGTAGGGTATAAAGAAGAGGAGGAGGAATCTGGGCTTCAGGGTAAAGAGAACAAGGGAAAAAGAGAGAGAGAACTGGAGTCAACTAGCTAGACATGGAAGAAGAAGGAAAAGAAGGACATATTGAATAAATGAAAGAAAGGTAAAAACTCCTGAGGCAAAAGATAGATGAAGAGGAGCAGGTTAAATTAAGTTAAAAGAGCTAGTGGGACAAATATAAGATAAGGCCAAGAATTCTTAACTAAATATATGTCTCCAAGTAATGATTTGGGGGTTGGCAGTCCAAGAAAGCCTGATGTAAATGTGGAAATACCAGCAAACATATCAAAATAGCTTAATTCAAAGACTAGTCATCAGATAAGATGATCCGTCAAGGTACATTCAGGCCTACTAACCATAAATAACACAATAAAATTTGTAACCAGACACTGTAAATAACTATATGGACTCTTTTTACATGGGAAACTTATTCTATTATTGAGATAGGTTATATAATTTGTGGAGATTATTATGAGTGTGCTGAAGGAGTAATATATGAAAATTTGTGAATGATACCAATCATTCTGGTGGGTTTCATTATGTGAATGACTAATTGAATTAATCTGAGACAGTACTTTGGAATGCCTGAAATATCCCATAGGGGAGTAGACAGATTCCTCCCACACAAATATTTATGCCATCTAGAAAAAAATATTTTTGGTTTGTGGCCTACCTACTTATTTCATTTGAATGTTTAGGATATTCCACAAAGCACTCTTTCATCAATTTCTTCCAAGAATTCTGACTGGAACTTAAATGACGGGTTTATTTCTACAGTCACTCCAATGGGTATGGTTTCTAATATTGTAATGATTTGTAACTAGACTGTCCATTTGACTTATGTCATTGATTTCTTTTGGTAGGCATTTAAAAAATATGTTTGTAGGCCCTATTCTGCAAAACTATGATCAGATTAGATATAGTCACTAACAACACATAATTATAGACTGCCTAGGCTCGGAATAAATTAAAATTGTAGCAGTGAGGAGAAACCCTGATCTTCCTGCTGTAGTTAGGAATGGGGACCATTTTAGCAAAAAGGTACTTAAATTTGTTCTGTCTTCATTGAAACCACAGTGGAAAGAAATCTATTGACTTCTGCTGTAGGAACTACCCACCTACTGGGACATGACCTCATAGACTGTTTACCTGGATGCGGAAATGCGTCCAGCCCCTTCCTCTCTGCTTCCCCCATTCGCTGTTAAGTTTGCTTTGGATCTGATCTTCATCCATCATTCAAGCAGAGAATCCTGTCTTTGTAAGTTTTACCTTTTAATAAACATCGGTCTATTTCTTAGTTCTGAGATAGTGTGGAATTCCTTTATTTTCTTTAAATAAGCATCCAATCTTTCTGCCTTCAGACCTCATATGAATGCTGCTATTATTTTAATTGGATTTTGTTACATACCATGAAATAATTATGCTTAAGGCTAGTATCATGCAGGTTCCCTTGATGTCTCTGCCAGAAGGCATCTCCTGAACTTACATCATTGGCAGAAGTCATGACTAATTTTTCCTGCTTTGCTAATGTGTAATTTTGAGAGCAATGATAGACGCGGCATCCTATCATCTTGTGTTCAAGTCCCAGTCCCAGAACTTCTTGCTAAATTTCCGTTAGTATAGGATGATCTTCATCACAATAGTTTTTGGTTTAGGGATGGTGCACTGGCACTTTTCTATGAAGAGCTACAACGTTTATCTTACTTGTAATTTTTAATGAACCTTTTGCATGTACAATACTGACTCTACAGGAAGTGGGAAGCACTTCACCACACCACTTCCTTCCCCAGGATATGAGAGTAGAGACTTCCTGCATGGTTGGCTAACTAGGTTGGAATAAGAGAGTTCCAATGTCTTCAGGGCTCATTTGATCAAGAAAGAAACACTACTTTCTACAATCTTTTTAAATACAAGATTGCATCCAAAACTACTAAAAATAAAATTAAGGAAAGAAATGGAAGTGTCTTGGTGTTGTTACAGCGCCCACTGTTTTTGCCCACAAGTACACACAGGCATTAGCGAATCAGGGCCCTATTTTGTGATCCTTACTCAAGCAGCTGTCTCCATGCAGCTGTGTTGGTCAGCATTCCAACACATGAATAACAGACAAGGGAGGAGTAAGGTCCTGAGAAGCACAGGACTTTCCCCATGCTTTACCCTATCAGTATTTTCTGCTTCCATTCAATTTAAAATTACCAAGTCTTTCTTTTGCAGAGGGATAGTTCACTAGGCACAGCTACTCTTTTCTCACTGCCTGTTGCCCCTCCCCCAGCAATGCACATATGGCTTAAGATTACATGATTTTAAGATAAGAATTGTTCTCAAATCTGGCCAAACAAACCCTCTCCAGTGATTCTGTTTCTGAGCATACTGAAGCATCTTTCTCGCTTTTTTTTTTTTTTAACTTCCATGAATGGAAATCCTAGTATGTTGGTACAGGAAAGGGTTAAAAAGTACTGGCAAGAAATCACGCATGTGTTAATGCCTGCTGCAGCTTCACATCTCTTCCACTTTGACCTCACAGTTAGTCTGCACGAGTTAATCACACAGAGCCTCTAGTGATTCCCCTTTCTATTTCTTTTAAGCAGAAACACAGCAGAACCACGCAAACAGAGCACAGCCCCATCTAAAAAGAAAGAAAAGAACAGAGAGCAAATACATAAACAAATCTAAAAGGACAAACCCCTGGGAGTTCATGGGAGCGCACAGGACATGAAAGTGAGCGCCTTTCTGTTTCTCTCATTTGCCTCCCTGTGCATCTCTGCCTGTACCATCCCCCCCCCTCGCCTCAATTATATTATCCTCTCAGACTTGGAAGCTGCTGCCCGAGCTGACGCTTTGATGGTATCTGCGAGCGTTTGTACTGATCTTTATTTCTGCCCCCTGAATATTAATTTTCGAAGCTGGTAGCAATACATTTCCTGAGTGACGGGACCTACTAGAGGCAGGTGGGGGGAGCCAGCATCAAATCATCAGCATAATAATAATACAAAGGGGAGGGATTCTTCTGCAACCCAGAGGCGAGAGGGAAAAAAAAAAGCGATGAGTTCGCCAAATACATGGAGCTTTGGAAGCACAGTCTACTCTCCTGTATTTTCACAGAAAATGACGCTGTGGATTCTGCTCCTGCTATCGCTCTACCCGGGGTAAGATGGGCCGTTTTCAATGTTGTTTGGCTCTAGAGAGATGTGGGGGAGAGATAAGGTTGTGGAAGCAGGGAGACCACCCAGATTTGAGACACTCTTTTGGCATTTAGGCTTTATAATTTAGGGAAGAGTGAATATACGGGGTGGGAGAGAGACGGATGAGAGAGAAAGGACATGTTGGTTTATTTGCTAATGAACTAGGTTTTATTTGTTTGTGTCGTGTTTCTGAGCGCTATAGCTCACCTCATAGACTCTGTGCTCTGGGAATAGCATTTGAATTTGCTGCAATCTGATATGAAGTGGGCTGTGCTCGCGCACGCCAGCATTTGAGGCCATATTGAAGGCATTTGGGTGGGGGTCTGGTGGAGAAAATTATAAATGGGGTCCTGGAGAAGACTAGCGTGATCTGTGTGAAGGAGTATTGGGGGCGGGGGCAGCGCGTTTTCTATTCTACACTACAGTCTTCTTTGGTCCTGCACCTGAGTATTCAATCAGCCAGGTTTTCTATCCAGCCCCATTGACCCGGCAGCTGATTTCCAGATGGGCAAACACGATTCAGCACCAAGGACAGCGGTCCAGCTTAGGGCCCGTTGTAAAGAGGCTTGCCAAACCACATACAGTATCAGGATTTCTAAACCTTGAAAGGACATCCATGTAGTCAGAAGGCCAGTGGGCCAAGGCACAGCACAGGAGTCTGGGGACCTTGCACGAGTTATTGCTACTCCCACCATCAGATGTTAGAGGGGCTACTGAACATAAGGTAGTGAATATAGTTCAATGAATGTTTAGGGAATTTATCTGGAACAGAGCTGGCCTGGTTGCAGTCTTGAAAACAAGCTCAACCAAAGGAATGCAATGGCAAAATCGTGAAGCATGCATGAGTGCACAGTCTTCCTGCACAAATAAAGGGAGAGGAGGATCCATAAAATTCCTGACCATGAGCGCTCCCTGAAATGTGTTTCATCTAGATTGTTTAGAACTTCTTTGAACTAGGCCTATGAGAGTAGAATCCCTCCACCAGGCACAGTGTCTATGCTTCTATTCATGGATGTAGCTCTCACCACATTCTAGTTTCCAATCAGAACCTACAGCAGGCTAGAAGTCCACTCTTTCATAGTATGCTCTTCTGTATTTTAAATTCAAATATTGTAAGAAATGCTTCTATAGCTGTGCCATCCCCAACCTCCAACAAAGACATAAATCTGTGGAAGATATCAAGACACTACTCCAAACTTTTCTTGGAAGTTAATGTAGCTGTTGTAATAGAGATAAACTAAGAGTTTAACTACAATAAACATTGAATTTAGATAGATAGTTTCATTAAAACACACAAATTGAAAAAGTATCTCAGAAGAGGAAAGCAATATTTATCAAAAACAATATTATATGTCACAGAATTTAGTAGAACCATTAAAATATTTTTTTCTATTCAAAAATCATCACACGCTTTCCTGTTACATATTTTATGTAAGTTTGTAAACTTTGTTTTGGGAATCAGAGTGCTCATAAATAGGGTATTTCTTCTTGTACTTCTACAAACCATGAAACCTGTGGAATAAAATCTATGTATGTTTCCTTCTTATTTCCATTCATTTTAGTAAACAATTTGCAACCAACTGCTTGAGTATATTCCTATGTGTTTCACCTCCAAATTATTCTATTTTACCCCTAAATATTATTTTATTACTTTTTATGATATGATAGCATTTATGATTTATGTGTTATGAAAATGCTCTGATAGACGTATTTTTGTATCCTCCAAATAATGATAAAGCAAGTAGCCATTGCAGTTTCATGCAGTGAATGTGGTCAGAGTTTCATGTGATGTAGTCCTTTGATGATATATCTAAATACCTGAGTATGGATGGAGAAAGTAGAAGATTTGCTCTCCAAAGCTGTTGCAAAGGTGTGGCGTACAAAGAGTCTCTTATAAAAAAAAATGGAATCCTCAGATTCTATGCAATAAACAATAACAGGAAGAGAAAGGTGATGAACATTATAGAAGAAGAAACTTTAATAGACACTTTTAATCTATAACACTTCAAATAAGCTTTTCTTCCTATTAAATGACCAAACTCAGTTGGTCAACCCAACATAAAAGAAAAATAAATCATAAATTAAATCATCTGAGCAAGTATGTTGAAACCTTATGCCTCTCCTTTGAGTCAGAATTCCATAAACTTGAAATTTGCTCCACTGCCTTGTATCTTGTTTACAACTTGTGAGAATCACTTGGGAACTTACAAAAATGGAAATTCCTCAAGCACACGCTGGATGATTCTGAGTCATGAGGTCTGCGTGAAGTGTAAGAATGTTGATTTTAACAGGTTCTCAGAGTTCCTTAAGAAAAATAGGCCTGTTGTCTATTTAGAAAAGTTTATTTATTGCCCTAGTTAATATTCATAAATATGTGTTTCCTACAATTTTATTCATCTAGGCATATATAATCAATTTCTTATCCATTAGCTATCTAGTTGTATATTAATCAAGTATGCCCATAAATCAAAAATTAAAACTAAAAAGGATGTTACTATATTTATCTCATGTGTAAATTTTTTGAAAAATTTTGACATACAACCTACATAAATGTCTATATATTCACAAATTCTATATACCACAACTGCATATGTTGACAAGTATGTTATAAAACAAATTTTGTAAATTATTTTAATATGAATTCATCCTACCACAGAGTTTTAAAAATTAATAAATTTTAAAATATAACAGAAATGATTAGGAATAGTAGGAAATTGGTATACAAAGAGAGACATTTTATTTTGATTGGCATAAATTATTTGATACTATATTTAGACTGACAGATAGTTATTTTTTAAAAATTAGTTAAACAGAAACACATTAGATTGAATTTTTGACAATTTCAATTTTTCATTTAAATAAATGATTTAATATTTTTACTGTTTTTATTTTAGAGGTTATAACATAATTAAATATCCCATATTCCTCTCTTGCTCTATGTCAAACTTATGGCTTCTTTTGAATTAATTTTGTCACATACAAATAGGTACATACATATTTGTTGTGTGTCATTTTAATGCTTATATTTATTTTGTGTTCTTAACTTTGCTGGATAAAGTATGTCAGATAAAATATTAAGAGTTTTGAATTTTTTAATGTCATTATGTTTTATACTGATTTTCATTTTTGTAGATTATCAGCATAAACATAAAAGAAATACTGTGATTTTTCAATATAACCATCTTTTTTGCAGAGTTAATCTTCATCAGCAAGCTTGTTACTCTACATCTTTACAAATGCTTTCCCTTATTTTTTTTCAAGAAAACTACCTTTGTTTTTCATAAGCACACACTATTGCTTTGGTTGTCGACATAGGCTCCTAGTTAGTCTTCTTTGAGCACCTACGTGGAAGGGTAAAAACAGAGGCTGAAAGTATGACTCAGAATTTGCAAGAATCCTTTCCCCACCACACTGTAGACCAAATACCTGGATAGCAGGCGGGGATTTTGAAACTGTTTTCTGTTTTTAAAATTTCACTTTGGGTAGTTCACGCTGAGTTACAGGTTGAATTACAGACTGTGCTACTGTGCTCGGCATCAGTGTAAAAATTAAGCTTTCATCTAATAGAATCTATAGACACCTTTCTGGTATTTTTAGATTCATTTTATATTTAGTTTAAAATAATTTACCAAAATTTAAGTTAACAAAATCTTATAATTTCTGTTCAAGTAGGAAGGAAGTCTAGATTGACTGCAGGGACATCATTCCTGGTGTCCATATTGTCCTACCAGGCCCATGATTCCTTGCTGATTATAACATCTCAGTTCGTTGGACATGGATGTTTAAAATTTTAATCACAATGTAAATAACTCACAAGTAATCTTGACAAGCTGTCATACTTACAAGAACAGAGGGTAGATAAGTTAACACCCAAATATCAGAGGTAATTAGTGACCGATTTAAAATAAAACTAGCCATGCTGTATGTGCACGTACTTTGTACATGATACATGTATACTTAGCATTAAGCACAGATATTTTGCTATATGAATCCCCAAAAAACCTCATATTGTTACTTCTGGCTATCTGTTGTCCTTAAGCCACCCACCTAATCTGTCTATAATTCTGTTTCCTAATCTGTCAAGCTTGGGTGATAAAGAGAGTTTCACCATGCCACAGTGAAGATTAGATACAATTGGCACAAAAATGTATGGTTCACTATATCTACACATAGGACAAAAGTTGATTTGAAAGTGCATATATATTTATGGTTGATTTAGAAGATGCCTTGCTTTCCTCTAATTCTACACAGCATGCATCCTGCTGGGGGTTGTTTCTAGAACACGGATGTGCTAAGCGCTTAATGTAATTGAGCCACATCCTCAATCAGATGATTCCTTCTCTTGACATCGACCTGAAACTAGCAACAACAGCAACCACAAGTCACGGAATAGCTATGCAAAGTGAAACCCTGGCTGTTTTGACACCAAATCTGGTTGAACTTCCAGACTGTTTAATTAGAACTTTTAATCAGTGTTCTGTAATCAATTTGGTAAAACCGTTTTTGAAAAATCACAAACACATGCCATTTCAATAAAGCCCAATTATATGATATCAGGTACAATAGAGTCTAGAAAAGATATCTTAGCTCTAAATGTCCATTGGATGCATTAAAATATTTAATCTAATTTTTTTCTGAGGATTCTTTGAAATCTTAGTACTTACCAATTAGATCACCATTAAAAGCTATCACATTGTACTCTCTGGACAGGCATACTTAGACACATCTTACTATTCAATGGCTTTATACATTTAAGAACATACCAAATGCAATGGTTTAAATACAAAATTAGAATTGTATTTGGGGAATACATTTCCTATATGATTATGTGTGTGTAAGAAAGAAATAGTTCAATTTGCAATTCTTTGACTATGCAGGTCCTACTATGGAATGTCATCAGTAATTAAAAGTCTTTACTCTCTACCAAGCAAACTGACAGGAAAATTTGCTCAGTAGTTTTCTTT